TGTGGGTTTATGTCTGTCTGCTGCTGCTTGTGAGCTGCTTACGTGACAGGAAGAGAACTGGAGGACAAGAATCGGAAAAGGTGCCCCCACCAACCTGGGGTTAGGGGGAAGAAGACTCTTGAAGCATATATTGTTGTGGAGACCGGCAGCTGTTTCCTGCAGGCGGCCTCCGCACTGAGCTTTGAGTTCCTGTTTCAAGGCTGCGCAAGCCTTTCAGCTATTTCCTTCCTCATCCGTCTTTACTTCTGCCTAACTGCTTGAAAAATAATCCTCGGGTTTTGTTTTGTGGCTCAAAGTGTGAGTATGTAGTGGGTGCATCTTCAGACTGCCATTAAACCTCCACTTAGTCCAGTGGTCTGCACTCACCAGAGGTCTAAGGTGATAAAGACTGAGGTTCCTTGTTTGCACAAGTAAGGGTCGTGAGGTAGAGACTGTGCATGATCCAGCTAGCACTTTGCACGAGCGGTTTTAATTAGATGCCTTGCTCCTGGGGGGGCTCATTACGGCTCCGCCCCTCATCCCAAGTTACCTACTGGCTTATGAAACACACCTGTGTGGCGCCCAGATGGCTGTGTTTATTGATACACGATACGTGAACTGATGACTCTCTGAATCGCGCTCTCCTTTAAAGCATGGCGGCTATGGCCCAGAATAAAGTCAGGAGTAATTAAAAATAAGGTGATCCCACCCCCCCACAGTGGCCCGGCGGTCAAAGCGAGATGCATGTTACAGGGCGGACCCCAAGGGGTGGAAAATTAATTCCGAGGCACCGCAAGGGTTTAGTCCCACTGCTACTGGATTAATTGGTTTCTGTTTTCGTCTCGTTTGCATGTACGCACAGTGCCACCCCCCCACCTCCCACACTGCCACTCCCATTCTTATTGATTATCCATCCTCCTTCATTAATATCTGATGACTGGATTTCTGTCCTGTTAATCTATGCTTGCACCACTCTGTGGCAGAGATGTCCAGAGCAAGGACACTGATGTGGGTTCTGTCAGGTGTGCGAGGTGGCCAGGCTCATCGTCATCTGACAAGTCGCTCTACAGTGCCACCTAGTGTCAGGTGTGCGAGGTGGCCAGGCTCATCGTCATCTGACAAGTCGCTCTACAGTGCCACCTAGTGTCAGGTGTGCAGCAATAGTAAGCAAAGCTCTCCTCTGTGGGATGCTACGTCCTGCACAGTGATGTCACTCTCCGAGTTCTGAGAACCTTTTATTTCCCTTAACGAAGAAACACCAGCCCTTCTCTAATTTAATTTCAGTTCCTTTCTGTTTTTAACACTGAAACAGTCAACGTCATGAGTGGATTTCAGTCTTGCTGTGGCTCTAAAAAAGCTTGTGGTTTTCCACTCGTAGCCATCGGCTTAGCCGACGCTTGTTAAGATACATCGCTCAGTAAGACCGAGGACAGTGATTCGCTGATCCCTGCTAATTCAGCAGGGTACAGGAGCCCTATTTAAACACTTGCTCGGGCTGTCGCCGGCTGCCTGCTTCTGGATGGGCGGGGTAGGCAGAGTCACCCTGAACTTGCAAACACGCCTCATGCAGAGGAAACAGCCAATGAAACTCTGAAGCAGCCTGGAAATGCTGCTGTCATTGATATCTATGAGTGCCTTTCTGCACTGATGCTGAGGTGCAGAGAGTGAGGAATCTGGGAGGAGTCCAGGACACAGCCTCCTTCGCAGGCAAAGAGAGGGGAAAGCGTGTGTCCAAATTCATCTCTCTTTTACTGCACAGCTAATGCCTCTGTGTTTGGTTTTTACTATGGGATCTTTTAAGGTGACGCCTGTTAAACGTATTAATTGCTGTGGTCTCTGGGGG